GTTTTTAAATTATTATTATTAGCAACAAATATTAGTTCTTTTTATTTTTTCAATCATTTTTTGGTTTCATTTTTTCCGTTAATCACATTTTTGTTAAGAATTTTAATTTAAATAATTAAACCACGGAAGATCCCATTTTTAAGCATTTTCATCATATAAAAAAAAAGAATGAATGATTGATGGAATTATACGGGTGAATATTCAAAAATAAATATTGAATATTTAATGCTCAATATTGATGTGGAATATGAAAAATTGGAATTAATATAAGTTCAAGAAAAAAATAAAAAAAATGTGATAATAAAAAATTCCTTAAATGTTAAACATTATCTATCAATTTAAAAATATCAATATTATTCTTAAAATTCTCTAATTTAAATCTCATTTAAAGAAGGATCATATATTATGAGAATCTCTCCATTATCACTAATACTTCCATTTAGATTTCCATCTCTAAGTTCTATTGATTATGCTAAATTGCACTCATAATTTTAAAAATCTGACGAAAAAGAAAATTTTAAGATATTTATAGCACTTCCATTAATACTTAATAATAAATTCTTAAATGCAACAAAGATCCCAATTTAATAATAGGATACTTCTTCTTTTTTAATTGTTCCCTTATAAATAATTTCACTAGTTTTTATATATTGTTTTATGTTGGAGTCAAATGAGTAGAGGGATACCGCTTAGGATTATTTTTAATAGAAGCTAAACGTGAAGTTGTTTATGTAACAAACTCCAGTTCCAATTATTTGTATTTTTTATTTTAATATCCAAATAGAATTAATCAATTCATATATTGTGATATTCCAGTGACTAGAAACTATTAATTGATTTCCAACAGGATTAATAGATAAACCGGTAATACATTCACTAGAAATCTAAATTTATTATTCAGAAGTCCAAGATTATTTAGCAAATTAATAAAAATAGATAGAATAGCTTCGAGAGAAGAAGAATTCATTTTCAGCAAAGTTCAGTTACAAAAATTAAATCTAGGAAGTTGCTGCTTTCCTAACAATTTCATATTCATATTTTACTCTAAAAATTGGATTCCAGTTAGTTTTATTAAAAAAATTGGTATACTTTGACCAGATTGTAATAAGTTAATCTTCAGATGTTGAGATTAATGAGTTTAACATTGTTGTTTTCTTTTTGAAGAAAACGAGATTTTGTACTCTCTAAGTTCCCTTTTCTCTAAGGATTGCCAATTAATTTACATTTTACTTTTACTTTTGTAAATAAAATTAGATCTCCATAATTTTGATGCCATCATCTTAACCAATAGCAAATAAAGAATTGTCATGATTGATTGCCAAAGAATAACATTTGACTTTTTCATTTAATTAAAATTTCGTTTTAAACTCATAAGAAAAAGGTTTTTTGTTACCAATAATTGTTCTAGGTAATTGTTAAAAAGTGTGTTCAGGTTTGTTTTTTGTATCTTCCTGCCTAACCAACATTACCTTCTTGCCAATCAATTAATTCAAAATTATTTATATTTTATTTTTTTCTTCATAGTACTCAAATTTAATCAAGCTACTAATTGTTTCACTACACCACTTTTCATTGATTTTTTTTAGATCTATAGGTTCAAAATCTAATTCTCCTGAATTTTTAATTAAGCTATTCAAACAATCAAAAAAACTATAATTTGCCATCTCTTTTCCAATATCTTTCAGTCGATTTATGAAATTATTCACTCTATTTTCGAAATCATCCAACTCTTAAATTATTGTTTTTCTTAGTTAATAAATAGTTCCACTTATTCTTGTTAATTATTGTAATTAAGGGATAAGTTCATTCTCATATTCTTTTAACCTCTATTTTAAAGGTTTTTCTATTATTTTTAATACTCCCTATATTGGTTTTAAGTCTTACTCAATCTAATCTATGCATTCTTTGCAATATAATCTCTAGTTTGGAAGTAGGTTTGCCTGCAGACTTATTAAACTGACAGGCTGATTGTGTTTAAATTTACAAGAATAATCTTAAAAATTCTCCTTACTTTTTACAGTGAACATATATATCGTTACTATCTATTATTAATATAAAGAAATTTGTATAATATAATTTAATTTGTTTTTTGATCAAATTTATTCAATAATTGATTGATCCACTCTTCTCATTATTGGTGTCATTTTCTGAATACTTATAAAGCTAAAACTTTATTACCATCTAATCACTTATAATTTGTAATTTCGAATTTAGAAATAAATTTTGATTTAATCATTTAAACCAATAAAGTTAACCCACCGATTATGATTTAAATAATATTTAGATCATAAATTCATTTATTGATTCATTTGTTCAAGACTCGAAAAACAAAGTGATTAGAATATCAACATCCAAAAGAACAATCAATTTTTCATAAAATGAGCAATTATTACAATCTTGTTGACATCACACACTTAGAACCAATAGATCATTGACCAAAAAAAAATATAGCTAAATGGAATAATAAAAGTAAGTTGTAATCGAATAAAAGATAAAAAATGATAAGAGTTATCAAATTTAAGCACTTCTAATTGATGATGTAAATTTAGAAGATGTTAAGATGACCAAATTTATTCAAAATCCAGTAAATGATGGAGCCGTAATAATTTAGGATTTCATAAAGGCATATATACTATTAAAAACAAATCAATTAAAGACATTCATTTTAAATAATAATAGAAGAACTTGAATTCTATGAATTAACATAACTTTAATTCTAAGAACTTGTGCTAGAATTCGATTAAAATATAATTGATGTTTGATTTTTGATATTCTTCATAATTTAATAAAGCCCATGTTTGTAGTTTTCTGAAAATTTTAAATGACCTACTTCTATACATCAGCGTATTTCAACCTACTTCAGCCAACTATCATAATATTATTTTGTATTTTTTTAACACTCACATTTCTAAGAATCTATTCTTTCAAATAAGAAAAATGTACTATATATGTTGTCTTGTTTTCTATGAAATATCATATTACTTATATTGGATTTTTGGATAGGGGTTGCTTTTTATTCAGCTAATATGAAATTACAGAATCCTTTAGTTTAATTAAGCCAAATCATGATAAGATACCTAGTTTAGCTCTATCCAAATTCATTCTAACTTACGGCAATTAGAAAATAAAAGATTTGTATTAGTTCATAAGTAAATGCACTTTACTTTTTTTTGATTAGTTATTCTTTTAATTGCATTATTTTCAATTTATTCTAACTCTCCAATAATCTTTATAATTTACACATCTCAGGAACAATATTAATCTCTGAAAACTAAAACATTGTATAAATTTCAAATTACTTAGCACTATGAATTAATAGTCAATTGTTCACTTACTAAAATCTATCCTTTTATTGAATTCAAATGTTAAATTAAAAAACTCATTGTTTAATTATTAGATTTGCATAGTCAAGTAAATTAGTAAATTGTAATTCTAAACAATTGGATTAAATATTTGAGTTTTAGGTATGTTAAGTTTTCCTCAAATAATAAATTTTTCTAAAAATTTAGAATTATTCTTATAATACTCTGTACAACAATAGTTAGGAAGATTTAGAGGTTTTTTGTTAGAATATTTAAAATATATTAGTTATACTTAACAGGAAGGTCTTCTATTTGTGCAAACATTTTAAAATGCTCAATTTATCTTATTCATGATTTGAAATATTAATAAAGTAGAACTGTAGGTGTGAAGGCGAAATTTATGGTCAACAACTTGAAATTATTATCAATTTTTTAAATATTAAGCAATTATCAATTTTAATTATCATTATGATTATAAAGTATAAAATAATCATATTATAAGTGTAAAATTAATTTATCTTAATTAAATGCATTATATTTTGTTTATATGATTTAAACAAATAAAACATTATAATAGATTCAATTGTAATTCATAGCCAAATTACCTTAAACTTTTTAAAAGTAATTTTTACTTTCAAATATCTTACCAGTAGCATCGGAATAAAGATAATTGTGTGTGAGTCAATATATATGTTGTGGTATCAATTTTCGTTTGTTTGTTCACTTATAATCATCCTGTTATTTATATATTGATATGATCTACTTTGAGCATCAGCAAGTAAATATTTGTTGATGACCTCCAAAATCGTAATACTTTTTGTTTATTCAATAAATTAGAACAGATTACATTTTCTTTCTGAAATTGGCATTAACTACTTGAAAGATAAAGGAAATGATGAATAAAATTTGTTTCAAATTAACATAAAGAATTTGGTTTAGTGTAAATAAATTTACAATTATTAATTAAGGCAAATGGATATTTATAGAATATTCAAATGATTACATATGCAACCTTCTCTATAAATCTTTTAGAATAATCGTCTGGATTTTGGGCAGAAGTGTCTAAAGCAATATTTACATGAATGGCCTTTTTAGTGTGCTTTTCAATGATCTTTTAAGCGTTCCATTCTTGGAGATAATCAATAATAGCAATATGATAGTAAATTCCATTTTCAGTTGCATTTATACTATGAATACATTACAAATCAGATGAGAAATAATTGGGAATCTTATATATATATATTTATTACGTCTTCTTCTTTAATATGATGGTTATTTTAGCTATAAGTATACCAATCCATTTTAATAATCAATAGTGAATAATCCATTAATTTGATTTTACTAAAAAATTGAGCATCATGAACCAAACATACTCTCAATCTCTCTCTATATTATTAAGGTATATGCAATTATTATTCTAAATTTTGAAAATCAATATCTTTTAATGTAATTTTCCTTAACTCAGCATCATTATACTTAACATTTTTCTTTAAGACTTATCTTGAGTGTTCAGATCCTTTTATATCGTATGTTCTGATTCTGTACATTGATGGTATTTACATAGCATTTCTCATTACTACTACATTAATAGACTCTTAGACCTAAATTATTGATAAACATATACATTTTATCTGAATAATTTGTAAATGCCATAAATGGGTGAAATAGCTGTTTCATTTTCACTTAAATGAAAAAAGTAAGGAATGAGATTTTTTCGTATAACCATTAATTCTTAATCCGATAAAGTTTTGATAATTAATTTATTGTCATGAGTGAAAAAGAAGAAGGCTCCTCCCTTGCCTCCATCTGGCCCTTTGAATTATTTTATTTAGTCTTAATTGGCAATTAAGTCAAATGATTTGAAATGATTAATCATTTTGGCGTCCTTCTCTCTTATCTTATGAAATATTGTTGGTGAATAGACAGTCATAGTTGATGGTAACAATTTTAAGTCTAATGACTTTTCATTATTGGTTCCTTTGCTATCAATTCCGTAGATGATTTCTTCAAGAAAATCATCAGTGGTCAAATTATAATCAGACTTCAACCTCGTAATATCATTGCTCAATATTGAATCATTGCAATATCTGGAATCTGTTTATCTCCTAACAAGATAAATTTAATCAAATTCACAAACAGATGTTTCTGAGGACGTGTCCTTTTTGCAAACAGATCTTATGCCAAAAATTATTGTGTTGACTTAATCAAATTTAAGATTTTAATGGATCGTATCATAAAAGTTAGAATCATCATGCACTAATTAATACTTTATATGCTTACATAATTCACTTTAGACATTGTCTCTTCTCCAAACTTTCCTCCACAATCTTTTAACTTGATCCTTAATTGTTGGTTCATTGTATCTTAAAATGGATAAAACAACTGGGGTACACAATTTAGCTGAATTACCTATCGTTATAAATATCAGTAAAATTCCCTTATGAAAATATGAACAGTTGAATCCTGCAAGAGTAAATGATATTGCCTAGGATGTCCAGATTAAGCAAGAGCCTTTGATATAACGATAATAATATTTTCCAAATGTTTCTCTTATTTCTTTGTATTTCTCATCATCTGGAATGGCTTTATTAAAGTACCATATTGTATATAACGAAATAAGAGTATAAAATAAGACCAGCATTATACCAGCCAAAGGAAATCCTGGGTGATACTTAAAACTGCAAGTACCAAATATTGAAAGACCATTATTATGAGTAAATTTAGCTATGATTGGGATTGATATCATTGCTGTCCATGCCAAAGAATGCAAAATAATGGGTAATTTTGGTATTACTTTGAATTGATTTTTAAGGGTTAATCGAATGTAAATGCAAAATACCACATTATAAGATACTTCTCCTGTTCCTGCAAATATACTAAACATTGAATTTGTTTAACAAAATGGACCTGAACTTAAAGGACTTTCGCCATATACAGTGTAATAGCATGCAGTCACAAACCAATGTATACACAATATTGCATCAGATAAAGATATAAAGAATACTATATCTCCTGGCATTTTCCTTGTATTTGGATACTTGAGAAAACTATAAGTGATGAACATTGTGCACATAAATGCTAAAGGCGCTAATTGATGATAACATTCTTCAAATACAAACTATCAAAAATATGTATTGATCTAATGGTTGCATTTTAATCTTTTCAGACAGTTCATCATCAGTCAAATCCTCATAACAATAAAATACATCAGCATCACTATAAATTCCTAAAGCTTAGCTTAAAAATAGGAAGTAGATTATCGCTTTTATCATATATATAATTATAAAAAAAAATTCGAATCGAAATTAGCTTACCAAATTTGAGGAGTACTTTGCAATTCCAACAAATACATATTTTCGTCATTATTTAACCTATAATTTATTCAAAAAATATGGAACATATATTTTTTGGTTACATACTTTCTACTTTTGTTTTAATTGATCTTTACTTCATCCTAAATTTATATGTGCTTTCTCGATTAGATTTCAGAAATATATTATATCAGTTAATTTAGTTAATATTTTAAAACTCTTTATAAGAATTGATTTTATTAATCAAAAACATCAATCACTTTTTTAAATTGAGGGACATACATATTTATCAGTTTCACGTTCAATCAAACCAACATTAATTCCTCTTGACCTTTGTAACATAATAAATACAAATGTAAAAATGATATCTTCAAAAATGTGTAAATTGATCTCTACCTTTTGTATCTGGGAAACTAGGCTAAAATAAAAGATTAACATATAAAATAATTGCATTTAACATAAATATATTCGAAACGGAGGAGAGGATAATTGAAAAATATCAACTCATATAATTGATTATTGAATTAATTCTTTATAAATATGGAGAGAAATGAGAGATGTTGTTTTAAAGATTAACAAAATGCTATCAATAACAAAATTTCAATATCTGTAATACCTAATTATGCAAATTGTTCACCGCTATTGAACTTGATTCTTATGATATAGAAAGTATTTTATAGTTCCCCTTTATTGAGTCTTACTTTACTAGTTAATCTTTATCGTCAATTTAGCAAATTTCTAAGCAGTTATCTTATTCTTACACTATCACGATGTTAGGTATGCTTAAATGACATAGTCTACCAACAATGTGCAATTTATCTAATTTTTAGATATTAATGAAATTGCCATTTTTGTTTTATTTCCAATTTTTAATTTCCAATCCTCCGCTAATAAATTAATTTGATTTCACCCAACTGACGCTATAAATCCTATCACTATGAGCTTTCTTAATTGGATCACATAAAGGCACCCAAATTAATTAATTTGGCTTAGTTACTTGTTACTTCCATATAAATATGTCCTTATTATGAGTGCATACTACAATATTCATCGTAAATTGATGACAACTCAAATCCTATACAGGCCAAAAGAAATCTTCTAAGACAGAATGTTCTGACCACGTTTCATTTTCTTGATCTTTGATGTAGATTATTATCTTGGGAGTTGGTTACGCACATATTAAAAATTATTTCTTTTCAACTGACACCATACATGGACTCCACCCTTCATCTTATTTAGTTCCATTAATGATTTGTTTTAATACAAATGATTTATCTGTTTAATAGATCAAAATATTGTTTGATGCACTTCTTACAAAAAGTTACTGTTAGTTCATTCCTAAACTAATTACATCATTTCTTATAGTTTGTAATTTTTTCAATGAGCCTTAGGCTTCCATCTTATAAATATCTGTTACCTCTTCATTTTTATTTGTTATATACAACACCTTATCGTTGAAAACACAAGTATCATAAAGTTAATCTAGTTAATTAATGACCTGTAATTTACACAGTTCCGAGGTTTTGAAAAAATTTTCATTTTTAGCCAAAGTATGTTCTATTACACACTCCTTCGTATATGTTACGAGATACTCACTTAATGATTAAAGTTGAATCTTTAGGTTTACTTGTAATTATTCTACTTCTTTCGATAACTACTAATTTATAAGTTCTATTGATTTGATTGTTTATTGAATAACTTTTGAAAATTATGAAGCTGCGTACATATTATCATTAGAACTCAAAACAACCGTTTAAGCAATATTTTACAACTTCGATAAAGTTAATTAGTCCTCTTCTTCAACTTAGAACTCATTTTATTTCTCTATTAGGTTAATTAAAATATTATTATTTTAGTTTTCTATTATTTAAAGCAATTCACTCGTTTTCTTTTTAAATAATTCTTAAATATTGGAGATTCTTTTCTTTAATTCTTTTTAAGATAAGATTTAAATATTTTATAGAGATCTGATTTCCTCAACTCCTGATTAATTAATTTCTTTGAATTTCTGTAAAACTCTAGAAATATTTTCTCTACTTTTTGATGGACATTCAATACAAACTGCTCTTTCACCAAGTGGTGTATTAACGTCGATATCAATTTGTATAATTAGTTTGTTATGTAAGGGGCAGTTAATATTCATTATAAAATTAATATATTTATTTAATTGAATTATTTTTGTAATCGCTAGTTAATCTTTGAGAATTACTGTGATATTGCAGAAGTTGACATTTTGAGAACAGAGAATTAGGATTAATAATATCAATTGAAAATATAAGAAATTAGAGCCTAAAGAAATAATACTATCTAATCCATCATTGTGGTTTTCAAAAGTCATGAATTAAGCTTAAAAAATTTTATTGAAATTAATTCTTTCATTTCAAATAATTCATTATTATTAATCATACAATTTTTCACCAATTTTTGTTTAGAGAATTTCTGTCTGAAATTTTGTTTAAATATATCTTCTTCTAATCCTGATTTTCACAAATTTACCTAAACCAGCTACTTTGTATCCTCAACCTCAAGATGTTTTCATAAAATTCTTGAAATAGTCTTCTAATTTTATGTTTTTCTTTAAGTCTTGCATAATTCATTTAATCTATCAGTAATCATACAAATAGATCTTTTTATATGTGTTATTTTTCAGCCAGAAAACAAAGGATAAAAAATGATTGATTCTGCTTTCTATTAATAAATTAGTAAACTATGTTTTAGGAATTTAAAGGAACTATAGTGAAGAAGATTCCAGAGAACAATCGATTATAATCTAAACAATTATCATAATAAAAGGAATATTTCAAATCTTTACACTTTGAATCTACTTTGAAATCGCATATGAAGAGATAAATTAGAATAAGACAATCTCTAGAGCCTCATGAGAAAAATAGCTACTATAATACATTTTTAGCTAAAATGGATTTATTATCTTAGCTTTATACATCTAAATTATCAATAGAACAAGTTAGATTATTATTTTCCTTAATGGGATAAATATTTACAATAATCAAAATAATTATACATAACCAGAACACAGTCATGATAAAGTATTTGATCCAAACTAAAATTTACCTCTGAGCTTAAAAGAACAGTTTTTTAGGGGCTTTTAACGGCTTTATTTAACGATCTGTATGTGTTGCGAAGGCTAGCTAACAAAAACAATCAATTATAATAAGATTGCTAATCATTATTCCATTATTAGATCAAGTGTATTTTACTTTGATAAACAATTTCTTTAAATAGTTTCAATTAGTTTATTTCGGTACATTTCCTTATTATCTTGCGCTACAAAAGTTCTTATCGTTAAAAGCTTAAAGTTAATTTCATTAAGCATCTTAGATTTAATATTTGAGTTAATTATAATATCTATTAGGTGAAGAGACAACATTAGATTCTTAATAACATTAATCCCAATTTTTGAAGAGCAATGATATATATCATCATTATAATATTCATAATTAAATAAATGCATAAATAATTGAATTCGATAAGCTTCATTTCGGCTAATAGTGGATTTTCTGATTTGTAATCTTGTTCTATTATTAAAGGTAATAATTATTATATAGCCAAATCTATTGATTAACATCCAGAATTGATTTCATAACTTTTTGAAACAGAAAAGCTGCAGAAATCGAAGAATATTTTTTAGGATCCTGTAAATCTTAAAATTCTATAACATGATCCAGCAATAGGACCAAAATATGAAAAAAATAAAATAGTTTCAAGATCTATTGTCGGAAAACCTGAAATATTCAGAAAGAAATAACCTACTCAGAACATTCATTCAAATTAAGAGTTCCATATGCCTACGCAACAGATAAATATGCAAGAATCAATTAGTCTAGCCAAAAAGGAATCTCCATTACAAAGAAGATTAACACAATTAAAAGTTGTTTAAAGTCCTGTTAAAATTTCGAAATAAACAAAGTATGAGAAGGTAATTACAGGTTCTGAGTTAATCAGTAAAATTGCTCATCTGGAAAAAAGATTAATTTAAAATAAACTCGATGAATAATAGCAATTTGATAACATGCCATTTTTTTAAAAATAAAATTTATATCGAGACCAAAGAGCCTTAGAAGATTTTGATAAATAAGAAAAAATTCATTCTGAACTGCTTCATTCCTTATCAGCTCGCATATCAAGAAACCCAAGTTGTTCTTTAATGATGGATTTATACAATTTTAGAAGAAAACAAGAATATTCAAATACAAATGATAAAATGAGGCAGTTATCAGAAAATAAAAATCAGGAAATTATGTACAAATTCTATAATAATTTAGAGAAATCCAAGAATAAAACTAGATACCCTTTTATATCTGTTCTGATAGGCAATAAATTATTAGAAAACCACACATTTTTGAAAAAGATGCAACTATTTCCAACATTTTAAAGCACATGAATGAGGAGAAAACCTATTAAAGTTTTACAACTAACAAAGTTTTAAAAGAAAAAGAATTAAAATATAAATTATTAGTAAAAGATAAAATTAATATAAATATTGATGAATTGATGATAATTGGATAATCTAAATATGAGTAGGAAATCTCCATAAACCTAAACCATAAATATGTAATCAAAGATATAGAAAAATATCAAGGAAATGAGGAGGAAATATTATGACATTAGAATATTTATTCTTTTATTAATATTATGAATTAATCATTTTTTTCATTCGTTTTATTGATCAAATCTGGTGCAACTTGTGATTTAATCTGGCTTATTTGCCCAAGGACTATTATTAATAAAAATATTTACATCGAATATATGATTACTTCATAAATTTATTATTCTTATTATTCGTTCAAATATCTTAACTTTATATTGTAATTAAATCCAGCTACAAGTTATTCATGAACGCTAATTATGGATTCAAATTCAAATCCTTCCTTTTAAGGATTAAATTTTGTGTTCACCTCATTAATTGCTTCTTCAATTACAATTTGGTTAGAATTACTAAATTTATTTTCATTTAGTAATTTCCATGATCCTGATGGTTATCTCTTTGATCCTCTTAATTAGTTGAATTATTATTTTGGTGTTTCTATTGTCTTTTAGAATTCGGAAGATGAACTTGAAGTACTTTATTAAGCAGGAGTGTTACCTTCTTAGGTAAATTCTCTACTAATTTAAGTTGCTTAACTATCTATTTTAGTTTAATTTCCAGCTCCTAATTCAACATTTTCAATGTTTGTTTGATTAAAAACATTTGTGAAATTAGAATCTATTGATTAGTTTACAATTCCTTCTTAAATCTATTAGTCTAATTATTTTTCACTTTAAATATCATTGATTGTAACATTGTAAATATTTTCACTAAAACTTGAGTTAGAAATTTGGTTTCTATTAGCATGAATTGTATTTGCTGAATTTGATTGTTAAGATTAATAAGTACTAATATTTCCATCATTATATTTTGTGCTATTATTTGTATTATAGAAAGATTACTAGTTGAAAGTTTAATTTTATGTGGATTGGTTACCATCTTAATATCCACTCATTTATTCACTTTTGAAGACATTGCTTTGAGTTGAATATTATATTTGTGAATATTCTCCATTCTATTTTGATTAATATGATTCACTTTCGTTGATTGAGGATGAAACTAAATTTGAACTATTTGTGTTAATATTTCCATTTGAAACATATTAGTTTTAGGTAGATTGTGATTAATAATTAGTTTGATCTCGTAATTTACTGCTACTTGATGAATTAATATTTCTATCAATTTCTCCATTTATTTATTAGGTATTACTGGAGGAATTGAAATTTTGAATTGTTGAAGACGAACTACCAGATTCTGTGCTTTAATATATTTGCTCTTACTATTAATATCTTTCTGATGAAGTTTTGTTTAATTGTGCTTGTCCTTAGCCATTCTGATAACTAACTTCTCCTTTTCCCCTATTTAAATTATTTTGAATTGTGTAATTATCATTGTATTAAAGACCATTTTAAGATAAATTTTTCGGTTTAATACTAGTATTTAGCGGATATTGCCAGATGAAACTTTAAATCAATGTGCCATAAAATACAGCATTATTATATCCTTAAGAATAAGAACTACCCGTGTAAGGCTTGTAAACAACTATGCTGAATTGCAAAGTAGCATTTCTAAAAACTGTATTTCCATGTGAGTCATATATTTTATTCAATGTAATTAATTCATTATCATTATAATAGTAATATGTAGAATTATTACCTGACTTTGGCTTATATAAATCCGTTTAATTAAATATAACTATCTATTAATATGACTACATAGATTAGTTATAAAACATAACAGTCTAAGTGGAATTATTTTATTAGGATTGAACTTCTTGATTTCTCAACTTTAAGCTAATTTTAGATTTTTAAAGTTTTGATCGAGTTGATAATGAAATGCTAGACGAATTTGTTGTATTTGAGGTATTGCTAGAATTAGTATATGTATAATAATTGGTATTTGTATTGTATTATGGATATGAGTAATTGTATTATGATGGGTAACTTCCATTTGTAAAGTTAGTGTTATTAGTGGTATTTGAGGTATTACTAGAATTACTATATGTATAATAATTGGTATTTGTATTGTATTATGGATATGAGTAATTGTATTATGATGGGTAACTTCCATTTGTAAAGTTCGTGTTATTAGTGGTATTTGAGGTATTACTAGAATTACTATATGTATAATAATTGGTATTTGTATTTTATTATGGATATGAGTAATTGTATTATGATGGGTAACTTCCATTTGTAAAGTTCGTGTTATTAGTGGTATTTGAGGTATTACTAGAATTACTATATGTATAATAATTGGTATTTGTATTGTATTATGGATATGAGTAATTGTATTATGATGGGTAACTTCCATTTGTAAAGTTCGTGTTATTAGTGGTATTTGAGGTATTACTAGAATTACTATATGTATAATAATTGGTATTAGTATTTTATTATGGATATGAGTAATTGTATTATGATGGGTAACTTCCATTTGTAAAGTTCGTGTTATTAGTGGTATTTGAGGTATTACTAGAATTACTATATGTATAATAATTGGCATTAGTATTTTATTATGGATATGAGTAATTGTATTATGATGGGTAACTTCCATTTGTAAAGGTCGGGTTATTAGTGGTATTTGAGGTATTACTAGAATTACTATATGTATAATAATTGGTATTTGTATTTTATTATGGATATGAGTAATTGTATTATGATGGGTAACTTCCATTTGTAAAGTTCGTGTTATTAGTGGTATTTGAGGTATTACTAGAATTACTATATGTATAATAATTGGTATTAGTATTTTATTATGGATATGAGTAATTGTATTATGATGGGTAACTTCCATTTGTAAAGTTCGTGTTATTAGTGGTATTTGAGGTATTACTAGAATTACTATATGTATAATAATTGGTATTTGTATTGTATTATGGATATGAGTAATTGTATTATGATGGGTAACTTCCATTTGTAAAGTTCGTGTTATTAGTGGTATTTGAGGTATTACTAGAATTACTATATGTATAATAATTGGTATTTGTATTGTATTATGGATATGAGTAATTGTATTATGATGGGTAACTTCCATTTGTAAAGTTCGTGTTATTAGTGGTATTTGAGGTATTACTAGAATTACTATATGTATAATAATTGGTATTAGTATTTTATTATGGATATGAGTAATTGTATTATGATGGGTAACTTCCATTTGTAAAGTTCGTGTTATTAGTGGTATTTGAGGTATTACTAGAATTACTATATGTATAATAATTGGTATTAGTATTTTATTATGGATATGAGTAATTGTATTATGATGGGTAAC